AGAGAGAGAGAGAGAGAGAGAGAGAGAGAGAGATGGCGAGAATATGCAAAATTTTAATATTAATGTCTAATTTAATATTACAAAAACGTAAATAACGGCATATTTTTATATGTATTTTAAAACGAAAGGAAATTATTATTAAAGTAAGATTTGGTTGAAAAGGTAGCGATTGTTTGGCCACTCGTTATGATTAATGATTGCATAAAATCCTATTCTATGCTAAGTTGTGAAGGGAGTGAAGAGAGTATAACTTTTTTCTTTAACTTCTTATAGTCTAGTAATACGTTTCCCTTCGCCCGAGACTTTGATATGATTGATGATAGGCTGTGCTCTCACTCATAGCCCACTCATGCCTTTCTCTATTGCCGTTAGATTTTAATGTATTTCATGTATTGCTGTCTCTTCTCATATATTTTAAGATAAGAATATGAATGAGAGATAAGAAAACCCAATACAAGAATTGGGGACAAAAAGGATATACGGCTATAAAATCATACGAATCGTTACAATTGAATGAAAACAAATAAATCGATAACTTCTAAGATTCTCATCGCTTTCATCGTATAATCACAAATATGAAATATGATGGATAGCCTTAGCTTTACTCTCTTCCTCCCACATGGTCTCTCTCTCTCTCTCTCTCTCTCTCTCTCTCTCTCTCCATTGATTACCGNTCTCTCTCTCTCTCTCTCTCTCTCTCTCTCTCTCTCTACCTTTCACTTTACATGTACTTTCAGTCACTCACTCACGCCTTGTCTCCGGTGATTGAGTTAAGAAAAAGAGTTAATACGTGAGCGAAGCCTTAAATTATTGATATAATATTGAGATTTAAAGACATTTTCTTAATGAATATCATAACAGATTACAAAAGCAATGCATTAGACGTTGAAAATAATCAATTTTCACATAATATTATATTATATTTATATGAAATTAGGTTCGCGTTATAAAAAGCGAGCCGTCGATGGCGTGCAGCGCAACAAACGGTCTAATTATGAGCAATGTTTTGGGCGATCACCGCATAAAACTGACCCTCCATTGGCTTATCATACGTTTTGCATAGCAATAGGCATATCGTAAAAGTACTAAAAATTGTTTTATATATCCGTCGATTAACATAACGCCAAACTATTCAATCACTTATTGTTAAAAGTAATGGCAAATGATATGAAAGTTAAACAATACTTCAGACAATAAATCGGGAGAAAAACAGATCTCAATTTGCATTAAGAATAAGAAATAAAATATGTATATTTCGTTACATAAAACAAACAAAAACTTAATGTAAGAAAGCATTGATAGAATTGATAAAAAATAAGAAAATGCAATTTAAGTATTTTTATGTTTAGTTTTTCACTACTTTCGCTCTCTCTCTCTCTCTCTCTCTCTCTCTCTCTCTCTCTCTCTCTCTCT